TATATTTTATACATTTTTTACGAATATTAAAACGTATTATTACCATATACAATTCTGTATATAAATTTCTTATAGGGATAATGATTTTATTATAAGCTTCAATAACTTCATTATAAGTAATTATCAGTTAAGAATTCTCTTCTCTTTCATTTTCTTATTCATTGGGTTTTTATTCATTAAATAAAACTACTTTTACAATTTCTTTATTAGATATCATTTCTCTTATAATTTTGGACTTATAATATTAAACAAATACTTTAATAGTTAAAATCATCAAATAATACACTTACAGCATCATATATATTATATTACCTTAAGTTCTTGAAATTGTCTACCTATTTATTGAAACCTTTAAATTTATTCTTACTAAACAAAAAAGCAAACCCAAAGTCTTAGTTAGTTAAAAGAATACTATCAATTATAATTAGAGTATGAGCTGAGCCAACTTTTGAGTCAAATAAGTTAAGTTAAGTTAAGTCAAAAAAATTTGACTCATTTAACTTAAGTTGAGTTTCAAATTAAGCTTGACTCAACTCAAGATAATTCAAGCTAAATTCAAGCTAAAAGTTGAGTAAAACTCAAGTACAAAGTCAAGCCTAAATCAAGCAAAACTTAAATTCAAAGTTAAGTTAAACTCAAGTAAAAATTTAACAATTTTTTTAAAGGAAATATAAAAAAATTGTTTAGATAGAATAATATACATAGTTCTAAAAGAACAATAGAAGTTTCATTCTATCAGAATGATATTATTTATCATTTCTTTAGAACAATGCATTATTATTCTATCAGAATGATTTTATCTATTATTTTGATAAAACAATTTTTATCATTCTATTGGTACAATATTATTTATCATTCCTTTAGAATAATGTTTTATCATTTTAAAAAAATGATTTTTTCTATTATTCTGATAAACAATATTTTATCATTCTATCTGAATGATTCTTCTATCATTTCTTTAAAATAATGTTTTATCATTCTATAGAATAATTCTTCTATTGTTCCTTTAGAATGATGATTTATCATTCTATTGGAATGATTCTTTCTATTGTTTCTTTAGAATGATACATTATCATTCTATCAGAATAATATTATTATCATTCCTTTAGAATAATGTAGTATCACTCTTAAGAAATAATTTTTTTATCGTTCTGATAAAATGATAATTTTTTTGTATTATTTCTTTAGAACGATCTTTAATGTCCTATTGGAATGATTTTTTATATTGTTCTACCAAAATGATCCTTCTATCATCCTTTGGAATGATTCTTTATCATTAGGAGATAAAATTGCGAAACTCTTATAAAATCGAGAATTCTCTAGAGTTTTGCTAAAAATCTGTGATTCTTTAAGAGTATTGCTAAATTTTTGTAAAAGCAAATAACTAAATGATTTATGATTATGACAAAGGAATAGATAGATCATTTAAATGGTCAAATGACCAGGTCATTTCTGAATACTGAACTAAACAGATAAGTTTGTTTTACAAATCCTATTATTAGAAAGTAACTAATATTTAATTTAGATTTTTAAATAGTTATTATATTGTTTGTTTTTATTACTAATAATTTCTTTTATTTTATTTTTTAGAATAATCTAATTATCTTAATAAAATAGTTAGCAGAATCATTTTATTAAAAAAAAACTTAGATTTTACATATTACTTTTTATATATATTAACTTATTACTAATTATAAATCATATAAGTAAATAAATATAAGTAAAAAAGAAAGTTAAAGTTAAAAAATAATATTATTTAGATTCTATTATATTTTATATCAATAAAAAAGAATAATACTCTTTAAATTATTTTAAAAAATAAAATTAACTGATTATTGAAAATTTTTTCTATTAGTTCAAAATCTTGAATTTATATTTGTTAAAAAGTTTTTGATAAGTTAGTTTTAATAATTATATTTTTTTCAAAACCTAATAATTAAGTTAAAAGTTATTTCATTTAACACTAACTAATATTATATTGATTGATTTTTTTTGTATAATTAATTTACAGATATAAAAGATTTTAAGTAACCAATTACAATTTCTTCTTTAATTCATCTGATTTAAACAAGTATCTTACCAAATATCTTGAGTTAATAATGTCTATCAAAACTTATTTTAATATATAATTTAAATTCAATAAAAATCTTTTTAAAGTAAATTTTCTTAAATTTGAAATTTATTTATTTTATTGATTTAGAAAACCTATTAAAAGTTTAGGTTAAGATATTTATTATAAGCAAATATTTTTTAAAATACTATAATATTGATTGTTAACCTTTGATCTTATTAAAGTATATCAAATACTATTATTGGTAGTATGTAAGCTAGACAATCTGAAGTATTTTTCTATTTTTTAAGTTATTTATCATGTTAGCGTACTATTCTTAATGTGTTCATCTAAAGTATGATATTCTAACTGGTAACTCAAACTACTTGTTGTAATCTGAATTAAATACTCAGCATCAAGGATACTATCAAATTTAAATAAAGAATACATCTCAATTATAGTTAGAGTTGATAAAAGTTCTAATAAATCCTAAATAGTCTAAAAGAATTTAAAGATAATTTTAATTTATATATCATTAATTAAATTTTTTAATAATATTAATCTTTTTAATAATTATTATCGTTATATATCAATTATTTTATTAATTTAAAATAAAAAATTCTTTAAAAATAATAAATATATTTAATTTAGGACCTGATTTTAAAACTTAGGCCTTAGATCTAAAATCTTAAAGATATTTTAAATTTTAAAAAGAAATTTAAACTTATTTTAATAAGTAACTTTAATTAAAAAATTGAATATAATGATAATATTTAAAACTAATAATTTTTTTAAATTAATCAGAATCAATTAGAATCAATTAGGACTTTTACTAACCCTAATCATAATGAACATTATTACTATTCTTATCAATGATCTAGTAAACTATAACAAGGATCTAATTAATTAATCTAATTTAATTATAACTATATAAAAAGCCACAGAATTCATAGGAACTATCACAAGATTTGCTCAAACAGTGATCTCTAGTTACACATATAGATCATATTAACTAGGTTACTTTGATACCTAAAATGTTAAACAACTTAGGAATTGAATCTAATCTTTAATCTTAGTGATAGCTTGATTGACTAGTACTGCAGATACTGCAGATTGTAAATGCAGTTTATTATCACCGCTAATCTAATCTACTAAATTCTGGTTAATTACTTTTTTACTTATGTAAGAGCTCCTATAGTGTGAAACTAAGGTTGTATCTATTACAGACTAATTAGCAAAGACTAAATTTTTATCAATTTCTGACTTTATTTACATCTACATGTTTTAATGCTTATAATATTTAAGTATGATTAATGTTAATTGATAGATTAATCAACCAGATTTATATATATGTTAGTACATATGAATTCTTATGAAAATCATATAGCATTATGTCTTAGCTGAGACTCGAACTATAGCCTATTGCTATGTAATAAAACTTTAATATATAGAAAACTTATGATTTAATCATTGAACTAAGACTGTCACATTCTTTTATAAACAAATATTTTAATCTCAAAATGTTGAAATTTAAAATTATTTAAAAATAATTTAATTACATATACTATACTGGTTTACAAAAAATATTTGGATTTTATAAAATTTATTTAGTAATATAAAGTAAAATTAAAGATCTTCAGGCTGCAAAAATATTTACAAATTTTTATTAAAATCCAACCAAAGGTTTTTTATTTGAAAACCAATCAATTATAATTTTTAAAAATATAAACAGAAGTATTCAATTTTAAAAATATATATTTTTAAAGTAATTTCTAGAAAAAAAAATCCATTTAAAAAACTATTACTATAAGAAAATTTTTTGATGCTTTAAAAATTATTTTTTAATTTTAATATATAAAAATTATAATTAAATGGCTTTCAAATAGAGTAAATATTTATGCAGTCTGAAGAACTTCAATTTTACTAAGTAAATTTTATAAAATCCAAATACTTTTTGTAGGTGAGTGAGTGTAGGTGTTGATGTTGAAAGAATGTTTTCATATTATAAATAGAAGTAACGCAAAATACTTTTGGAAAATTCAATTAATGCCGAATTTTTTATATTATAATAATCAATAAATAAATTTAATACGGAAAAAATAAAAATTAGTTGTTAAAATTTCAACCTGAAAATCAAATTTGACATAATAATAAAATTGATTTTTCTATTGCAAACATATATAAAAATATTTTTTTGCATATTTTGCATATTTTTTTATAATTTTATCACACGAGTCTGGACTCTTATTAATGATTTAAATTCTTTTTACAAAACATATAATTATAGAGTTATAACAACGACAACAATAAACATTATACACATCTAACAGACCAAATCAAAAAATCGTTCCTTGTGATTGACAGGTCTTTAAAGCGTATAAAATTTGATACTTGTCTGACATGAACAAGGGCCATGATATAATAAACTTATTAATAGTTTTATTATATTTTTGATTAAACTAAAATTTTGTCATTTAAAATAAAACCAATAAAAAAAATTTATGACAGCGTGACTTTTAGTAATTATTTCTTTTCTAATTCCAGAATAAAATCATAATGTTCTTTCTTCACGGGTTGTATAGATAAACGACCACGGCACAATAGTGCCATACCTTTCAATCCATCGTCTTTATGTGCTTGCAATTCCTTAAGTGTAATCAAACGGTTAAACTTACGAACAAATTTAACATCAACCTATTAAAATAATAAAGAATTTGTGTTGAATATTTCTTATAAACCGATATTAATAATAATAACTAAATGTTTTACCATAAACCATTTTGGATTGTCCTTATTTGACTTTGGATCATAATATGGATGAAATTCATCAAACGCGGTATCTAAATTGAAAAAAAGATGGTTTAAATATATAATGAAATACCAATAATTCAATCTATTAACTTACAATCTGGATAAGCCTCCTTCACTATCTAGAAAGATTATGACAAGTAAATATAGATGCAAAAAAAAAAAATATTTTTTGAGTAGTAGTTGTACCTCTGCTAATCCTGAATATATATATTATATGTTAGAACTTTTAAATAAAATTTCAAATTAATTAATTATCCTATTCATACCCGCTATTCCAGGTGTTTTGCAATTGGAATGATAAAATAGTACCTGTAATTTATAAGAATTTAAATATATTAGGTGCTGAAATCTCATAAATTTAGAAATACCAATGTGACATGTTGTTACTTTGTCTTCGATTTTCATCCCGTTTTTCATATTATTACGCGCTTCATAATTTCTCTGTATTATAAGAAACATTCAACGATTATAGAGAATAAAGTGATTATAAATAAACACGGGCACTTACTACACCATCCCATTGAGAAACGCTGTTAAGGAATTTAGAAAAGTTTAATTAATTAATTTTATAAGTTAATAAAAATATTTACATTGATTTAATTAAAATTTACCCGTTATGCATGTTTGCTAAATCATCAATGCTAAAATATAAGTACCTTGTATTAGGAGAAAATATGTAAATAAGAAAATCATATATTTTTGTTGTAAACTAACCTAAACTTGACGTCTTTTCCTTTGACAATTCGTGATTCAGGTTCGGCTTTCATAAGCCAATAATGAACATTGCTTTTTTGTTCATTTAAATTATCTTCGGGAGAGTTTAGCCTCAGATTCTGATCCTGCCTACAAAACAATTTAAATTCGTTTTTATTATTTAAACGTGCAAAGTTTAAAAAAAAAAAATTAAAATCAAGGTTTATAAACTTTTACAGGATCAGTTGACTTTTCATTTTTTTGTTCCATCTCTTAAAGATTCAATCAGAACTTAATTTATCCATAATAAGTCACGTGATTTTATAATGTTATTTCACGCGTATCATTTTAAGACGTGTCGATGACGTAATTGGGTTTAAAAAAAACAAACATATAAATGGCTTATATAAAAATTTTAATACCTTTTTGTTTACCCGAAAAATCGTATGTACATTTATTTATTCAAAAATGGACATATCATTCAGTAGTGAAGTTTGCGTAGAAAGAGCAAGGAAACGCAGAAGAAGTAATGAAGTTACAATAAAGGATGGCGAAAAAGAAATAAATATTCAGGTTATTGTGCGTTGCAGGTAATGTTTTATTTTTTTAACTTTTCTTTACGTTCCATAACCATATTAAATAAGATTTATAATTATAAAAAGAGGACGTATTGAACGTGAAATCGCCGCAAACGCACCGGTCATTATTGAAACGAACTTTCGTGAGGTACAATTAAAGCAGTCACCGGAAAAAATACTCAAAACGTATACATTCGATAGAGTTTTTGGACCCGAAGCAGATCAAGCCAAGATTTTTGATCATATCGTTGTCCCTATTTTACATGAGGTTAAAGCGGGTTACAATTGCACTCTGTTCGCTTACGGGCAAACTTCAACTGGCAAAACATACACGATGGAGGGTAATTTAGACATTACGAATGGTCAAATGAGTCAACATGCCGGTATTATTCCGCGTACTCTCTTTAACCTTTTTCAGGATTTAGAAGCAGAAGCCCAAGATTTCTCAGTCAAGGTTTCTTATATTGAATTATACAATGAAGATCTTAAAGATCTTCTCTCTTCTAATGATGATACACGAAAGTTGAAGATTCAGGATGAAGGAAATAAAAAAGGCATACTTAATGGTCATGAGGAAATACTTATTAAGAATGCAGCTGATGGAATACGAGTTTTGAAGCTTGGGTCCGTTAAACGACATGCTGCACAAACGAATTGTAACAAAAATTCAAGGTATCATATGAGTATGACCACTTTTTACGATAATCAGACTCGTTTTTACCAACCTTTTTTGTTTATTACCTTTTCAGTCGTTCCCATTCTGTATTCTTTATTACAGTGCATATCAAAGAAACAATGGCAGATGGAGAAGACTTGCTCAAGGTCGGAAAATTTAATTTGGTAGATTTGGCAGGCTCGGAGTGTATTGGCCGATCAGGAGCCGAAAATAACCGTGCAAAAGAAGCTGGAAATATAAATAAAAGTTTACTGACTTTGGGTCGTTGTATAAATGCTCTTAACGAACGTTGCTTACATATTCCTTTTAGGTATTTTGACCAAAATCGATATAACATTTTAAATTAAATTTATTGATTTATTGATTAATACTTTCAAATTTAGAGAAAGCAAGCTGACTCGCCTTTTGCAAGATTCTCTTGGAGGAAAAACTAAAACATGCATTATTGCAACAGTATCTCCCGCAAAATCATGTTATGATGAGACCGTATCAACTTTAGATTATGCTCACCGAGCAAAGAACATTCGTAACAAGCCGGTTGCTAATCAACGCGTCACAAAAAAAGCTTTGATAAAAGATTATATTAATAAAATTGAACGCCTGGAAATGGACTTGCGAGTATGGTTTCAAAGTTTTATAACTTTCTTCTAGGTATTGATTATATTAATGAATTATCATGTATAGGCTACTCGGGACAAAAATGGCATTTTCATGTCAGAAGAAACACATAAATTATTAGTGAATGAGAATAAGAGTCGAAAAGACGAGTGTGAAGAATTACAGAAACAAAAGGAAGTGCTAACCGAACGAGTTCAGAATTTGGAGCGAGATTTAAACTTCACTAAAGGCAAGTAATGTCGTTATAAAGACATAATTTAAGTTCTCGCATTAACCTAATATGCTTTAAAGGACGACAGGCTACAATTGATCAACATTATCGTAAGAATCTTCAGGAGTTACAGTCTAAATTTAATATTTTTAAGACAATGAGTATTGGATTTGGATCAACCGTTTCCCGTAAATTAAATGATGCTTATGAGGAGCGCACAAAGGTGCATAATAGATATTTGACATTTATTCTTAATTAATCATTAAAACACTTTCTTAATAAATGAATATTTTTGATGTAGGAAATATCGGAGTATCATAAATATATTGATGAACAACTTGATCGATTTGAGCAACAGAAAAATATGTTTGAGCAAATTTTTACTAGTGATAGTAAAGTTGTCACTACCTTTTTTGGTGAAATAAACAAACTTCGTAAAGGGTTTCAAGAAGCTGCAATTAAAAAGGACAAGGGATTACGCGAGGAGTCTGTTACTATGCTCAAAAGTTTGCATGATGAGTTGGCGGGTCAATCTATTAAGGTTAGATATTGGTATTTCTTTATTATATATATATATATATATATTATCGTGCATTAACAAAATTTATACCTTCAATGTACATTTTATTATATCATTAAGATGCAAACTTATCATGTCAAGATTGACGAGGAAATATCTACTTTGGTGACTACAACGCAAGAGCATATTGATTCTCAAAACCAGGCCATTGTTGCTTGTCAAAGTATTACTGAAGAAGCAGCTAAGAAGGAGGTAGTATTCTTATATTTTCAAATAATCGTTTATGAAAAATTTAAATCCTTATTAGCCATCACACTTTAGACTCTTTACCTCGAGACACAAAATGATTTATTGGATGATATCATAAAAAAAGAATGCAATTTTGCGACAAACTTGAACGAAGAAATATTGAACATTATCAAAAGAGAACTTAACAAATATACCAGTACTCAAATTGATAGACTCAAGAAATCTTATGATGAAGCACATGTTTCAACTCAAAAGAACGTTAAATATATCCTTTTATATTTATTCCAAATAATTCTAAATAATTATGACACGTTTTAGTATTCTTAACTTAAAAATACCTATTGAATTATGTAAAGAAGCAAATCTAACTGCGCTTGAGGGTATGAAGACATCCAACACTAAATATTTAAACAGCCACAAATCACAATATGCATCTACAAAGGAGAACCTCGCATCTCTTATAAAGGTAAAGAATATACATTTTTTAAACAATATTAAACCGAATTTGGTTATTAAATACATTTAATAATGGTACGATAGGAAAGTAAAATAGATTTATCCGCAAACGTCAATAATATAACGAAAGGAATGTCCTCACAATTGGACAAATATAAGATTCTAATTGAATCAACATTGACTTCTTTGGAACGACTAACTGTCTCAGGTATATTGATTTACATATAATTCATATTTAAAATGGCATACCTTTAACATTTTAAATATAAATATCCACAAGCAAACGATGAATCATCCGAACTTCATAAACAACTTGTCGAGTTATTCAAGTCATTTGCGTCCGATGTTACTCAATGCTATTCTTCTCTTCAAAATAAAATGACGAAGTCACAAATGGAGCTTGAATCGAGTACACCTCAAGTAACTAAAACAGTAAGTATTCTTTGTATCGAATTTATTGGAATTTGATTATATATATATTTTTTTATTGATTTTTTAAAATTTTTTTACAGGTAAAAGAAAACTTGAATACACTAACAAATTTTTAATTACGTGACAATTTTTGTGTACCAGTAACAATAAATAAAATTTCTGCGTTAACTTTTTTACATAGCGAAACTAATTGGCAAGTATTTACAAATTAGCCTTTACTGTGATTCTATAAATTTATATATAATTTTATAATCTTTTTTAAATATACTCTTTGTAACTTAATTTTTTAATAATAATCAAGATTTTTATAATATATATTTTATATAATCTAAAGTAATTTCTATTTTTTAATTAAATGATATTTAAAATTATTTTTTTTAATATTTTTTTTATAATTGAGAAAAATCATTAAATTTTTTTAATAGTTACTTATATAGTTAAACCGATTTTTTATTATCTTAAATTAAATCAACCAATTTTAAACATATTTATTATTATGCTTATGATTGAATAAGCTATAATAATATATTTTAAGCTAGTAATAAATAAATACAAATTATGATTTTATAAATTTGTTAATAATTATTAATTAAAAAATAATTATAGAATTAATAAAAACTTAACTGTCATTTAAAATAAAGAAAGCCATAATTTTTTAAGCCGTAATCTAACAATCAAAATAACCAAAACCTCAGAAATAAAGATAATGTTATTAATCAAGTTTATATATTATTTAAGTTTATTGATTTTTTTGTTTAATTAGTTTAATTAGTTAATATAATAAATAAAGTTAATAAAATTTATAATATTTCTTTAGTTTCTATAGTTTTATTTTATTTTTAATTACAATAGAAGTAAATTTATATTTTATATAAATAGAATAAAAAATTATTATAGTAAAAGATAATTAAAAGGTTAGGTAGTTAAAAATAAAGAAGTATTAATTAGCAATTAATTGTAAATTTATATTTTGATAAGTTTGTAAATAAAAGCTTATTAAATTTATTAAATAGTATTGATTTACTTATATTTTATTAATAATCTAATATTATTTTTATAATATTAATTTGTTAAACTTTTGACTTAAACCCAATCCATTATTATTATTTTTTTTATATATTTAAAGTATTCTTACATATTCCTAATTAATATATATATATCTACACAATTTCTTATACATATATTGTAAAGCGTTCTGTATAATATCCTTATATATAATACCTTTACTTTTTCAAATGATATAAAATGTATAATATTTAGAATATTATAAACCACAAATTTTAATACTTAATATTTAGTATCTGAGTATTAAATATTGTATAATATTAATAAATTGAACTATCATACAATTATATTAAAATATTATTTAAAAAAATAAGCTTTATAAAGCTATTTCTTTATTTTATTATTTATTTAATAAGTAGCTTTATAATATATTCATTAAAAAATATATTTAATTAATGCTAAATTCTATAAATTTTCTATAATATTATCATTATACATATTTTCATCAATTAAGTTTTATTCTTCAATAAATTTATTTTTAATATTATTTTTTAACAAATCATAATTATTAATACAATTATTTTTAGAACTATTTTTTTTTACAGAAATCTAAAAATTAAATAATTTTTAATTTTTTTTTATATCAATACTTTCCTATACCATTTTAATCTATTATACAACTTTATTATATGCTGATTTTTTAATTCTGTCAGCTGATATTAATTTATGCATTTTATCAAATATTCATTTATATAAAAAAAATATATTTTTGCTTTAAAATATTTATTAATTCTAATATCTAAGGATTGTAATTTGCTAATTAATCCTTTAGGAATTATAGCAAAATTACTATACTTTTCAAATAATTCTACATATTAATTATCAATCTATTAAAGTATTTATTCTTATTTATCCATTTTAATTGACTCAAATTTTCACATTTAATTGGAAAAGTTTCATAAAATATATTTTTTAATTTAAAATTATAATAGATTCTAAAGAAAAAACTTAAAAATAAATGCTATTTTTTAATTTTAGTTATTTTTTATAAGGAATTGTTATTCTTTTTTTGTTTAACAAATATATCAATTAATAAATCCATTTATTCACTTATTAGAAAATTTAAAATTATTGATTATTGTATAAATCTGTTTCATTTCAGTAGTTGTTACAACTTTCTTAACCTTTTTAATTACTATATTATAAGTTATATTATTATTTGCTTCTCTTAAACTTTAAACCTATTTAAATAATAATTTTTCTAATTTAGATAATACAGCTGACCTAGATTGAAGTTATTAGTTTTTTTTTTTAGTTAGTCTAATACCTAATTTATTTAGTTTTAATATCAAATATTTTTTCAGCTTTCTTTATTAAATCTTTGAGAATATTGTATACATTATTATTTTTAAAGATTTTTTGTAGTTTATATTTTTTTTATATTTATTTTTAATTATTACTATATTTTTAAATATAGATTGAAAAAAATATTAAATATAAAAGGCAAAAAATATTTTCAATAAATTTTATAAAACTAAAAAAAATTTTTTTGCAAAAAAAATATTAAATTGATGATTAATTAATTATTTTATTATACAGAGGGTAGCTAAAAGTCTTCGAACACTATGTTTGTCATTGTATATCTCAAGATGTACCAATCAGATTTAGTTCAAAATTTCATATATTATTGATACAATCTCAATCTATAATATATTAAAATTTCATTTAATTTGAATTGGTAGAAGCTGAGATATGTATATAAATGTAAATTCATAAATATTTTTGAATACTAAAATTTAACATCATATATCGCAAGATTCACTGATTAGAATTAGCTAAAATTTTCATATATATATAACATAATCTTGAACTATAATATATCAAATTTTCATTTAATTTGAATTACTAGAAGCTGAGATATAACAATATATAAATA